CGGCAGCTCCAGCGCGCATGCCGGTAGTTGCCACGGTTCGGCGGGTTACGCGCAGCAGCGAAGGCCCGGGCAGAGAGCCCGGGCGGCTGTGCGGTGTCTGGGACAACGGGTCTCACCCCAGAAGCGCCGGCACCTGGGCGCGTCCCTACCTGGGCCCCGTTCTTCATGACCAAATCGAAGCCCATTCCTTACTTCGAGTAAGCCCAGGCGATGGATGACGTAGGTACCGACTTACCTATGACGTCACGGCCCAAGCCCATTCCTTACTTGGCCGAGAGGCGAAGTAAGTGCGGTAGCTCGCGGTTATTTACATAGCAACGAATAGCCCACGACGCGTTTGCGGGTGTGTTGTGGTGGATGCAGAGGGTTTCCTCTAGCCCCATAGATCTGCCATTTATAAGTTACGCTATTGCCATAGAGTAGTTAACTACCATTGGTTACAAATGTGTTGGTCAGACTTGTCTGCTTTCCCTTAATGATAGTTCGTCAGGGCTGCAGGTTACGGCACACCTGGCCAAGGGGCAGTAGGTATGCCGATGTGCCAGCCATCATTGCCTGCTTACTGATTCGATCGTAGATGCGCATTGCTATGCATTGCTACTTAACTTCTTGGCCTAGGTGCTACTGTATCATATCAGCTAAGTACTCCTGTAATGCAAGCTGATTTGTTTCATAGGCCTGATTGATTATTTTGAATTACTGGACTGCACAGGCATGGGTTGGTAGAGGTTAACCAAACAGACTTGTGGTTCTGTGGCTGGTAAGCATGATTGTTGTGCAGCATGAAAATTATATTATTGATCTGGTTGCACTTATTTTCTAGGTCACTTCTTCACTAACCTGTACCTTTACTGCATGCCTGACAGATTATGAACAACATGGGGAAGGTAGAGTTTTGGAACCCCTATGTTGAACAGTATATCATGGTGGCATTACCTAAAATTTCTGTGAGCAGATTTAGCACTAGTATGTGTTTCAGCATACCTTATTAATAGATAACAGGGATGTGAGGGTACTTCCACTGATTAATTGCTAGTGGTATTAAAGCATGTGGAAGTACAAGACAGGAACATAGAATGTCAGTTGAATATTTTTATTGATGATATAGCTTGTATGCATAATTTTGAGCAATTTGTTCTGTACACATGAAGCTATGGCCTATCCTTATCTTAGTTGCATTGAATCTTAATGTGGCCATTATACATGCTTTCTTTGCCAAGAAACATTCCCTACCACCATGGTTTTGTCTGCTTTGTTTGACAAGGTGGGTGAGTTGTAAAAAAAACTGATAACAATGTCATGTGAGGTGTGCATATCATCTTGTATTTAAGTATTGTTGGAATGAAGTTTTTCGCCCACAATGAACCTAAATGGTCAATTATGGAAAGGCAGTGACATTTCATTCTTAAAATGTTATGTGCCAAATGTGATCACCTGTGGATGAGATTTGGCGTGCACTAGGCAATTCAAACATTGGAATTGCCATACTGTATGTTGCCCAAAGTAGTCCCAGTAACTGGGTGTACACAAATTGTGTTTCTAGATGTGGACAGTCTCCAAGCTTTTCAGTGTATGTTTCCTTCCAAGGACACCTCCTGCTGCTCCTTAGCTGTCTGTTTCCCAAAGTGTGTTTGTGCTGACTTGAATGTGATGGATTGACTGTTATTTCTGATCTGCTTTTATTGTTCCCAATCTTCGCATTACAACATTTAACTGGAGCAGGCTGCATGCATCATCTTTGCCATGAGGTGGTCAGCCATGTGCTGTCACTTTGTGAAGCCCATGCACTGCACTTGCAGGTTCTGTATGCTAGAAAGTAATAGTGCACCCACGTCGACCTGTTCCACAGGATATGCCTCATGGGGCTCTGCAGGCACCAAGTCATCCCCTGCCCCATGCTCATGATGCACAATGCAATAATTGATGCATGGTGCAATGATCAATGCAATGATAACCTCAGCCACATTGCCCATGTTTTTCACTTCTACATGTTTTAGTTGCTGCAGTTTGTTTTTCAGCATGCTGAAAGCACGTTCAATTTTGGACGCTGCTCTGAAACGTGTCAACATGGCCATCCTGTGGGGCGCGTCGATTGTCAGGCTGATAACCGACTCCCGTATGGTCTACCACTGGATAAGCGACCTTTTTTTGTATGGTCTGTAGAAGTGGCGCTGAGTGGGGCTGAGGTGATCGTTGTCTCGGGAAGGGGTGATGATCTCCGGGGAAAGGGGAAGCTCCTGTCCTCGACGAGGTATGCGTTAGATGGGAGAAGCTGCCGCCGATGCTCCCTGAGGTCGCAGCAGAGGAGGGCCTTCTCCAAAAAAAATACGAGAATCGCGGGCGGATCGCGGAACCCTGGAAGTACATCAGTGCGTACGCTGCGGGGACCACAAGCAGCCAGTAGATGTACTGTTTTGGCGACGCTCATGAGTATTATGAGCAGCTGCTATCTGCTGCTGGGTGCATCCATGAAGATGAAGAACCTGTCGATGGCTGCAACCACACCCGGGGAGCTGGCGCACGCTGCAAAGCCTGCGATGGTTCCATGTGGCCGCGCTCCTATTGGCCACGCGATGGCGTCACTGTGCGCGGTAGCAACATATTTGCAAAATGTTGTTAGATACTAGTGTGACCCAGATTTTGAACTTCCGAACTTGTCGCCAACGTCGTGTGGGGGGTACTGGCTCGGCAAGATATTGCAGCGCAGGCATCACATCTTCCAACGGACGCTTCTGGTTGCCCCTGCGCTGGCCATGATTGTCATAATAAGGAGCCAGCTTTGCTTAGAGATTTTGAGAGAAAAAATGTGCGCGGATACGAGACTGCGATTTGAAATCCTCGTTATCATGTCCTGGAACCACGTCATGTAAATAATTTTCTGTTTTGTTTGCGCGACGCTGGTGCTTTGGCAGGGCCAGAACCGCTACGTCGGCGTATGCGCCAATGTGTTAGTCACTTTCTGGATCCGGTAACATAGTTCGTCTGGACAACACTTGGCGTCTCATTACAACACGTGTTCCGAACAAAGCTGTATCCCTGCTTGCAGCAACACGCGCAAAACTCGACCATGCGTAACAAAATACATGGACGACCTCAGTATACATGCGCGACGCTCGCGCAACGCTTGAAGTAATGTCGCGTCTGTCGGAGTCGAAGGCGATGATCTGCCTTTCTCTGCCTATAATATTCTCGTTAATGTAAAGTCGTCATGGTATAGGCAGCTGTTGTGAGAGATGCACGTGAAGTATTTGTATTTAACTGTCCTGACTCGTCAATATCATCTCTGCTGCGCGTCAAATGTGTTTGTTGGAAAACAGCGATTTTATTAGCCGCCATATTTGGGAGTTACTTGAAGCGTTCTCCATGGCGCAGATGACGTATCTGTGCAACGTCATAGGTTGTTACCTGAAAAGGCGGAGCATCTGGCAGCATTTCCCCATCAAGAACGGGGCCCTGATGAGCCGTGACCTTCTGCGGGCCAGTGTAAAACCGCGCGCCGCGCCACGCTGCACAGCAGGAATGGTGGTCAGACCATACCTTCGAGGAAGGCTACCTTCCGGTTCCCGGAGCTTGACCTTGCCGAGTTGTCCCGACAGCGCGGCAACGTATGAAACACGCGCCAGGTCACGCGAGCAATGTAGTGCGTCGTTCCACTCGCCTTGGGGCTTGGCTGCGACCTTTGAGCTTTGGCTCAGAGAGAACGTACGGGAGCGGAGCCATCTGACCATTTTTAGTTCTGATATCGCAGGCCACCTGGCAACATGCCACGAGTTTCCCGGCACTGAGTTGCTGAGACAGCGCGGGACTTACCCGCGCGGGAAGACGCTACCTGAAGTATCCCAGGCGTCTGTCCGGAAAATTGTGACTGGCCATTGCTATTGCATGATAAGAATGCCTCACAAACTGATGCTGTCCCTTTGCCTGTGCACCAAACGAGAGTAATTTAGGCGAGTCATTTGTTTGGTCCTCTATGTTGAGGAGAGGAGCTCTCAAGTTGGAACGTTCCTGGCGGACAGGCACACTGCACGCATCTCTGGATCCCGCACGCATCTCTAGATACTGCACGCACCTGTAGATCCTGCACGCATCTCTAGATCATGCACGCATCGTTAGACCCTGCACGCATCTCTAGACCCCCGCACGCATTTCTACATCCACACGTACCTCTAGATTCCGCACGCATCTCTAGACCTCCCACACATCTCTAAATCCACGCGTACCCCTAGATGCCGCGCGCATCTCTAGACCCCGCACACAGTGCGATGTACTACCATGTACGGTAGCTGTCCTATATTTTAGTGACGGCTTCCCTTTATATCGTTAGCGTTTGGTGGTGCACGACGCTTGTATATTGACGCATGACGCGGGGGTCTGAAATAGAGATGAAGGGGTAGAGCAGGGTACGTGGCGTCTAAGACCAATTACTGATAGATAATACTCGGACATGACACCACATGGTGGCAGCGGGGTGAGAACACACTACAGCACAATCTAAAAAGGAGGGAAGAAATGTCTAGTCGCAATAAGCCAAATTAAGGGCTTCAGTAGTGCGCTTTACGTGCGTCGCAATCGCCGCAGAAAACAAAAAAATGTCTGATTCTTTCATACCTCACATGGAATGGGAAGCTGCTGACCAAAGCCTTGCCATAAAGCTCTTCAAGCAGAAATGTGAACTGTTTTTCTCAGTGAAAGAAATCAAAAAAGAAAAACAAGTGGACCATATCTTGCTGTCCTCAGGAGAGCCAGGCCTGAGATTCTACAACTCATGGGGCCTCCTAGCAGAGGGAGAGAAGGATCCCAAAAAGGTATGGGACAAATTCCAGACCCAAGTTGAGCCTAAGACCAACTTCAGAGTGGCCAGGCTGTTCCTCCAACGCCTGAAGCAGGAGGAAGGCGAGTCGTTTGATGACTTTGTTTCCAGATGCAAACTCCAGGCCCAAAAATGTGCCTTCAGGGATGACCAGGAGTTCAATGAAGGGGCCATGGAACAAATTGTCATTGGCACATGCCATGCTGAGGTTCAAAAAGAGCTCCTCAGCAAAGATAATACTCTCCACCTGGACAAAGTGCTGGAGGTGGGTCGCACACATGAAGTGTCCATGCGGCACATGCAGCAAGTAAAGAGCATGCAATCCCAAGATGCCAACCAAGTAGCGCACTACCTGCAAAGAAGCCAGAAAGGTAACAAAACATGCACCAGATGTGGCTACAAGGCTCATTTTCACAAACAAGAGTGGCCAGCCATGGGTTCAACATGTAAGGTGTGTGGAAAGCCGAACCACTGGAATACTGTCTGTGGGAGGCTCAAGATGTACAGCCAAGGGACAGCAAATCAGGGTCACGGAACCAACAAGGAGCAACCCAAAGGCATCAAAGGCACAACCAACCAAGCCGCAAACAACAAAACAACCAAAGCAGGTCAGTGCATGCCATCAGCAAAAATTATCCGTTCAGTCAGCCAACCCTCAACAGTCTCAAAGGAGCAGGTGCAAACCCAGTGAGTGAAGACACTCGAGATGAGGCCTTCACATACCTCCAAACAAGGCTGGACAGACAAAAACTGCTGGTGAACCTCAGAGTGAAAGTGGACACTGGTGCCCAGGGCAACACCCTGCCTGTGAGAATGTACCAGCAAATGTTCCCTCGCTCCCTGGCTGCTCAAGGTACGCCGCGGGCTGCTGATGTTATAAAATCAGATGTGATCCTCACAGCCTACAATGACACCACCATCAAACAGCATGGATGCATGGAACTGCTCTGCAGGTTTGGCAACAACAGCTGGACCCCAACCAAGTTCTTCGTGGTGGAGTCTGAAGGACCAGCCATCGTCGGACTGCCAAGCTCCCGCCAGTTGAATCTGGTGACGCTGCACTGTGCGATCACAGCCACAGACAGCAAGGTGAACACGGTTGAGGGCCTCGTGAAAAACTACCCGGACCAGTTCGACAGGATCGGCAAGTTCCCAGGGAAGTATCACATCGAGCTGAAGTAAGATACCCAACCTGTGATACATGCCCAGAGGAAGTTCTCCGTTCGCCTGAGAGAGCAAATCAAGGCGCAGCTGGACGAAAGGGAAACCACAGGTGTCATCAAGAAGGTCCAAGAGCCCACAGACTGGGTCAACAGCATGGTCTGCACCAAGAAGAGAGATGGAACTCTCAGAGTGTGCCTCGACCCGAAGGACCTCAACAAGGCCATCAAAAAGTGTCACCACAAGACACCAACGCTGGAGGAGCTGACGCACAAGCTGACAGGCGCCACCGTCTTCAGCAAGCTGGACGCCAAGAACGGCTACTGGTCGATGACGTTGGATGAGCAGAGCTCTTTCCTCACCACCTTCAACACCCCGTTCGGAAGGTGCAGGTACCTCCGGATGCCGTTCGGCCTGGTCATGTCCCAGGACGTGTTCCAGCGCAAGATAGACCAGATCCTGGGGGAATGTCCTGGAACAATGGGAATCACAGACGACGTGGCTGTCTTCGGCAAGAACGAAGCCGACCACGATGCAAATCTCCAACACCTGTTCACCGTCGCCAAGAAACATGGACTGTCGTTCAACAGCAGCAAGTGCGCCATCAAGCAGCAGTTCATCAAGTTTTACGGCATCACGTATGACCGAGACGGAGCGCACCCCGACCCTGACAAGGTCACGAACATCAAAGCGATGGCAACACCCTCCAACCAGAAGGAACTTCAAGAGTTCCTGGGCGTCATCACACACAAGTCGCCGTGCATACCAAAGCTGTCAGATGCAACAGAGCCACTCCGAGGACTTCTGAAGAAATGAGCCGAGTTCTGCTGGACAGCAGCCCACGAAGTAGCCTTCCAAAAGGTGAAAAAACGAATCTGCGAGGAGACGACCCTGGAATACTTAGATCCAAGGGAGCCGACACGAGTGGAAGTCGACGCCTTGCAGAAAGGCCTGGGAGCTGCCCTCGTGCAAGACGGGAAGCCCATCGTGTTCGCCTCATAGTCGCTGTCAGAAGCCGAGCAGCGCTACGCGAACATCGAAAGAGAGCTCCTGGCGGTCGTGTGTGAGTGCGAACGCTTCCACACGTACCTCTTCGGTCGCGACTTCATCGTCGAGAGCAACCACAAGCCACTAGAGATGGTCTAACTGAAGAACCTCCGAGCAGCACCACCAAGACTCCAGAGGATGTTGATGCGTCTGCAAAACTACAACGTGCAGATCACCTACAAACCTGGCAAGCAGATGCTGCTCGCAGATGGACTGTCGCGCCTCCCGCCGGCAGAAAACAGCCACATTGAGCTCGACCTGCAGATCCATCTTGTGCACTTCGGTGCCGGAAAGCTCCAAAAGCTGAGGGAAGAAACGTCGCGCGACAAAACGTTGACGGAGCCCCGTGACGTCATCGTCGCAGGCTGGCCTGGATCTCAAAAAAGCCTGCCTCCGTCCCTCCGACCGTACTGGTCGTACCGAGACGAACTGGCGGTGTAAGATGGACTCGTCCTGACCGGGGAGAGATTCGTCATCCCCAAGAGATGAGGGAAGAAATTCTGCAAAAAATACATAAAAGCCACCAAGGACAGGTCAAGTGCAAGCTGCGAGCAAGAGAATGTGTCTACTGGCCAGGCATTAACAGAGACATCGAGAGGGAGACGGCAAAGTGTGAGACCTGCCAAAAGCACATGAGGAGTCAGCAAAAGGAGCCGATGACACAAATGGAGCTGCCAACGCGCCCATGGCAGATCATCGGCACAGACCTCTTCCATTTGAACTACCAAACGTACCTGGCCGTCGCAGACTACTTCTCGAAGTTCCCGATTGTAAGGAGGATACCGGGGCACTGCACCAGCAAAGCAGTCATCAACGCTCTGAAGAAAATCTTCGAGGAATACGGCATCCCAGACACCATCAGGAGTAACAACGGACCACAGTACGACTGTGAGTCGTTCGCCTGCTTCATGAGGGAGTGGAGCATTGTGCACATCACGAGCTCACCCCACTTCCCAGAGAGCAACGGCTTCATAGAGCGGACCATCCAAACGCTGAAGCAAGCCATGAAGAAGGCTCTAGATAGCGGCAGTGACGTGCTCATGGCACTCCTCACCCTGCGGACGACGCCCATCGACAGTCACCTGCCAAGCCCAGCCGAAATCCTCCAAGGTCGGAAAGTCCGAGGAAATCTGCCCATGAAGACCCGACCAAGAAGTGAGCAGGCCGACGTCCTGCCACGCCTGGTGGAACGCCAGACCACCCAAAAGGCTTGCCACGACCGACATGCGACTGAGCTGTCAACACTCAGTCCCGGACAACCCATCCGCGTACAGCACCCTCAGAGCGGCCGACGGAATCCAGCGACCGTTGTGGACCAGCGACCTGAACCAAGGTCGTACACCATCAGAGCGGCCAACGGCGCGGTCTATCTGAGGAACCGGCAACACCTTCGCAGCCTCAGCCCGTCTCCAACTCGCTTGGACAACACCACCCCAGCCAGGACGGTGTCAGCGCAAAGCAGCCCACCTCCACCAGCTGCCTACGCTCAGACGAGCCCCAGAGCGGTAGTGGTACCAGACCACGAACCGCCAAACATCCCAACTTCCCGTTACGGTCGAGTTCTGAAGAAACCCGACCGCCTGGACCTTTAGTGCGTAGTGTACATATGTTGAAAAGGGGGATGCGATGTACTACCATGTACGGTAGCCGTCTTATATTTTAGTGACGGCTTCCCTTTATATCGTTAGCGTTTGCATTTATGTTTTCGTACATGTGTATCCCAGCAACCGCCAACAGCGGTGTTAGCATAGTGGTGAGCGAAATGACACAACTATCAATGTTCTGCCAAAAATGTTTTGTCTTACCAAGTATCAGAGGTGATGAGAAATATATTTATATTTCATTTTGTGAATACATTTATATTTACTGTATCTCAACAACTAGCTTTTAAAAACAACGAGAAACGATGTTTTCGAGCAGGAAAGCTGAGGCCACTAAAACCTACATTGTCGAGGATATATTGGACGAAGGCAATCTAAATGCAACGAAACTTCCCCAACTATTTTGCGCTTGCTTCTTTGTTTTATTTCTGTGCATTCTTTTTTGTAAGTAGTTTGGACGTCAACAGAGCCGTCCAAATGGCCCAACTATCAATTTTCCGTCAAAAATGATTTGTCTTACCAAGTATTAGAGGTGATGAGAAACAAATTTATATTATCATTTTGTAAATACATTTATACTTACTGTAGCTCAACGACTAGCTTTTAAAAATAACGAGAAACGAGGTTTTGGAGCAGGAAAGCTGAGGCCACTAAAACCTACATTGTCGAGTACATATCGGACGAAAGCGATGGAAATGCAGCGAAACTTCCCAACTATGTTGCGTTTGCTTCTTTCTTTTATTTCTATGCATTCTTTTCTGTAGGTAGTTTAGACGTCAACAGAGCCGTTCAATAGTCCTAAGATCGCCACGTGGTCCAGGGCCCTAAGATCGCATTTCGTTGAGGGTCTCGACCACTCGGGGCACGGACGAATCGTAGTTGAGCTAACGATCTTATACCCGGCCCCTTCTCTTTCTCCCACTTCCACCTTACTCTGCCGTAAAGACGTGGATCCCTACAAAATAGCACGTCATTCTGATGAAAATCCCGCGGAATGCAGTCCTCCTTGAAGGTTTTTGGGCGATACAATATCTTCTATCTCATATCAATTTCTGACTCGCTTTTGCCACTCAGTCCTCAGATACCAAAGGAAAACATAAAGGCACAGGAACCCAAATGTACTCTTATAAATGTACCTAAGACACGCACATAGGAGAGAATGGGCATTTAATGTAACAATTGAGGGAATGCACATTTAGACCCGGAACTAGACTCAATTTCATTCATTTAGTGCATTCAAACCTCATGTTTGCCGTACCCCAGGACGGTTAATCCTGTGCTCAATGCTTTCCTCAACAAATTCAGCAAAACCAGAGATCTGATGGGGATCTATGACCACGAAACACTATTAGTAATTGCACACGCTCCGGAACATCCGTTCTAAAAGCAACAGGACCTAAACCATGTTAATTATACAGATGCCTAGATTGCTAGTTTATTCCATGTCGTAACTTGTATAAAGAACGACGTAAAACCGAAATCCCGGATAAGCCCACGAGAACACTCAATGCACGGCATCTGAATTGGAGCAGACACGTATTGCGCTACGCCAACTGACACCTCCCATCATTTCTTAGAACCCCGTCGGCTGTACTCTTTTAATGGCATAGCCTTTAAATGAGATGGCACACTGTACCGGACGTCATTGACTTCTTACGACAATGGTACAGTGGTCCTCATACAATAATCCCGGCTAAACACTCGAAGACCTACAAATCGTGGACGATGATATGAACGAGATCATCAGCTTCAACATGCCATGCAAGTGTATTCAGATCGACAGAACACGCCTTAGCAGACAGGAAATGACGACAGTTTAGACACATTCCGCCTAAACCAGACATAACACATTTCGTCCAAAGGACTTCTCACAAACACAACAAAACAAGATTCACAAGCTGTCCAAGTGGTTTGTGCAGCCAAAAAGGAGACTGCACCTAGCACAGCGTACATTTTCCCGTCCGCAGGCAAACGCATCGTCATCATAAAACCATCAATACACCATCACATACCATCATCACATCATCATCGTATCAAGCCACCCCCGCTTCCATAGTCACGACGAAGACGAAGACTAATCAAGGTTAAATCGGGCTCCTTCCCAGCCCCACGCACAGCAGCAGCCTGAGCCGGCCGGCACCCGGTACAGGCATGCAGGGAGCGGCTGGGCGCCCCAAGATAAACATTGTAGGTTCCTGTGTGCACCACCTCTTTTCCTCAATACATGCACACACCAGATGTCTTGCACGCTTACCCAAGCACATTTAGACTTGATGCATACCATCGCCTC